TAGACAATAAAATTCATGTATTCCGTCGATTGTCCAATTATATTGAAATGGCGGCAGTAATTCCAAAAAGGTAAATTTTCAAATGGTGGCAGTAATAGCTAACAGAGGAAGTACTACATCGAGAGGAACAAATTCATAATAGTTGGGTTGACGGAAATAAATTGTGATAGGAGTATCGTACATGTTGATTCGTCCATGTTGGGCAAATACAACGTGGACGACCTCTTCTGAAAGGCCCCGCTTGGTCATCGAAGACATTCGTCGACTCCCCGAGGGTGTGCCAATCCATCCGTTGACCGGTCGCACACGATATCCAAATCCCGCCAGAACTCTGACTCAATTCCAAGGAACAACATGGTTCGCATAAGCGCCATTTCCACTTCGAGTTGCCAATGACCTTGCTAGTCCACCGAGTCACTCGTTAGCACCAACGTTTTCGGACGTGACGCCCATCTTCCTTCCAGCTTGTGTTTTGACAATTGTTTGAATACCCAGTAGTTCGTGTTGTCTATTGATGGCATTGCACTTCTCTGAATATTGCATTGGTGCAATTGGCTTTGCACGCTTCAAAACGTGTAGATGTCGTACCAAAGCTTCCTCTTGGACAGGTCAGGCCAAGGGTTGTCACTCAAGTGCCACCGGTGGAAGAAGTACAATGCAAGCACGCTAAACGGACAGCGTGTGACATGCTTGTGCCGCATGAACGTTGTTTGTTCAACATTGCCGTATTGATTCAGCTTGGATTTTCACCACACACATCGAAACAGTTGAGCACAATGAAGACCCTCCTCCTCGAATGTCATCAAGCCGATTTCTCAAAGCGTTAATCGTCGTTTAATGTTACCGCAAGTGCACAATTAATCGACATCAAGTTGTATGCTCGGTGGTTCATGCCCTGTTCAGTACGACTCGTGAAGAAATTTTCGCTGATCCTTCGCAATGCTGCTTAACTTACGTAATCGACCATGATCCCCTTTCCTCGGTCAGCAAACTCGGAATTTTCTTGTTGCACCACTGCCATTTTTTGCTTCAGCAGCTCCTTGACGGCATTTGGGCGTATTGGCGGCATGGATTTTGATTGCGCTCATATTGGAACTTCCAAATATCTATCAGCGCTTTTGCATAAGCAGAGACCGTGTGATAGCCAATGATTCGAGGGTTGCCTGCGACGCAAATACAGACGCATCCGCGGACGCCCGAGGAGCTACGCCGTACTTCCAGTTGGCGGACGGTAACAGCGACAGCCACAGCTGGAGCGTGTGGAGCAGGTAGTCGCCATATGTGAGTTTGTTTCGTGAAAAGACCGCCGCATGGCATAATATAGAGTTTCCACGACACGATCTTGTTGGCCTTCGTCTCCACCATTGCTTGTTTCGATCACTCCACCACGTCAGTTTCTAGTCGTTTAAATTCACTTGATCTTACCGGACGATCTTGGATGTGGGCCAAAAAGAGGGCAATTTTGGTTGGTGTAACATACTCATCTGTGTAGCCACAAAACCCATTCCAATTGATGAATTCCATTTGCTTAGCAAGAGTATTGACTATCCGTTTGCTCAGGTCGTGTCGAAGTGCGGTTGACTCGAATTCTCGCCATGGCTTTGTACTCCAAAACATGGAGTCGCAGCATTTGCTCTCTTCGTGCGTGCATCTCATTTGTCACGCTTGTGGGCTCGTTCATATTGTTTCGTGCACGCGGTGAATGTTTCAATGCAGGAAATTGACTCCTTGATGTCTGCTTATGATGTTTTAGTTGGTTGTACACGATTTAATTTCAGCTGGAACGCAAATCCGAACAAGCTCAGATTTGGATGCGAACGTGTGTGTTTGTCGGAAAATTTTCATGAATTATGATGATTGATGGCCAATCTACACACAATTACAACGTTTAACTGGCTGACATGGTAAGTAGTTCTTCCCTAAATTCGTTGCGTTGATTGGCTCGACATCATTTTCCCGAATAATTTGCAGTGGTCGTCAATTTTAAACTACCCATACAAAGACCAACATGACCGGGATCATGACCTCCGGATGCGGTGAATCTGTAAAATATTTACCACATAATCTGTAAAATATTTACCACATAAAATGGATAAAACTAGAAATCGCGGAATTTATTTCGCGAAATATTTATATGCGCACTACGCTAATAGTCGATACTACCGCCATTTGGCGACTAGAATACCCCAACGTTCTCAAATTACGTTCAAATCAGGGCTCGTGATAGGCCAGCCCATGAAAAAGACACCCGAGTCTTCAAGAAACGTCTTTGTCTCCTTGGAAGCGTGGATAGATGCATTGTCTTGTTGGAAACAGCAATGTGGTCTTCGAGACACTCTTGAACTTCGTCCAAAAAGGGGTACAGATACGTCTCCAGAGTCTCGCAATACTTCCCCGAGCTTTGTCGTCGTTCAAGGAATACGTCCCGCACATGCTCACAGCACCCCAAACCATAACGCTTCCTCCTCCGCTGACCCGCTTCGAGAACACATTTACGTCACCACGGAGGTCACGCCAATACGCGAGGTATCTCTCCGGGCCACCCATGTTGAACTTCTTTTCATCCGAGAAGACAACTTGACGCCAAAAATCCAGCTTCGCTATGAGCTTTGCAGCGAAAGCACGATGTGCCTTCTTGCGATGCGGCTTCGGACATGGCGCCGGCTTCTGCTTCGCGTATTTGATAAACTTGCTCGATTTCAGCACATTGAGAACAGTGCGGGCAGTCAACCATAATGTCTTGGCGTTTTGCGCTGCTGACAAGTTTCGTACGATTGAGCTGCGGAAATTCAGCGTATGTCACGCTTCGTCAACTTCACGTGCCTTCTCGACCGCTTCTTCGTACCGTACGTGTCCGGGGATTTCAGGTACGAACGCACTAATGCCTCAGGTAGTTTGAGTCGACGTCCAATCTCAAGATTGGATTTCTTCTCGTGCTTCTAAGCCAAAATTTGGCCCATTTCGATGCCTATAAGGTTGAGACAACTTGGATGCCGTTGCCTATTCATTGGCCAAATCCCTCACACCATTGTGTTTCCATATTGAATGAGTATTTTGACATATACTTCAGACGCGACAACAAACCCACAATATAATGGGAGGTGATTGGACAACCGACAAAAGAATCGAATTCTACTGGTCCCTTAGAATTGTCGATTTCCTATTGGACGAGGAATGTGTCGGTGCAGCTACATATCCTTAACATTAAACATGTACAAGCCATGATTGGATAAATCCTAAAGTCGGTTCGTTTCACGCCGTTTCTACTGACC